GGGTGTGGGGTGTGGGTGGGTGTGGGTGTGGGTGTGGGTGTAGGTGTAGTTCAAGTAAAGATAGACATCTACACCCGCAGCGGGTAAAATCATTACTGAACGACGGTCTAACTTAGATCCATCAACGGTCAATGACATTATTTTTCTTCGTTCTATTGAAAGCAGATTTTCTTAAATAATTTTTTTCGGACTTGACTGTTTAGGTTGAACAGTATGCACTTTTTCTATTGTAAAATAAATAATTCTTATGGATCCATGCGAAAATCATAACACCAAACTTCTTACTTTGGTGTGGATGTGGTTGTGCGTTAAGAGAAAAACCACATCGATACTCACAAACCCACATCCACATCCACACCAACACTCTCAACCGAAACAGAAAACGAAGTTTCTTTGTTGACAAAGAAATCGTATTCTTTACTGTACAATTTAATTACTTTTTTCAGTAAGTCGACGAATGTTCTTGTCGATTCTCTGCCGATCTGGATGGTTAATAGGAAGAAACTTATCATAAATATCCAATACACGATGATAATACTCAAGCGCCATCTGTCTCTGGTTCTGCTTTTCATAACAGTCGCCGATATTATTGAAAGTGGCACCAGTATCGGTATGGCCAGATGGATAACATTTCTGTCGTATTTGTAATGCTTTTTGGTAACAATCAAGAGCTTCATCGTATTTTCCTTGCTTACGAAGAATGTCACCAATGTCACTGAGAACATGAGCAGAATCTTTGATTCGTGCTGGTTTATTTTTCATCATCCGATCATAAGCGCGATCATAATATTCTCGAGCTCTGTACAATTCACCTTTACAAAGAAGAGCTCGTCCAATATTATATTCAATCCATGCTTGATCTTCATCATTAGGATCAGTGACTAATTGTTGAAAATAGTTTTGTGATTTATCATATTCACCTAAGTTACACAATAGTTTCCCGAAAACAATTGAAGCACTTAGTTCTGCTATTTCTGTTTGTGTCGATGCAATAAAGTCTTTAGCAAGTTTTTGTCCTTCATTTGAAAGATTCATTTTAATTGTTTTATTGAGTTATTTTCTTCAATAGATTCGATTTGAAAGCAAGCATTTAAATCAAATAAAACTTCTCGTTCATGTGGATAATCAGAAAATGCACTAATATCAGCAAAAATAATATTTTCATCCATTTCCTTAATATGACATTGAATATGGAAAAGAGTAGAAACAACATCAATTCTTTTTGTTGGTTTCAATGCAAAACTTAATGCTAATGATCTGTCTCGACTAGTTGATAAATATCCATTTGTTGAAATAAGTTTTTCCTTATTTTGTTTTAATTTTTGAACTTCTTCTCTGTCAAGTGTTGTTCCTCGATAAACATTCAAAATTTGTTCTTCTGATTCTACGATATTTTTATGTTGGCATTGAAGGCTTTCAGAAAGATCACCAATAAAGAACCGAAATTTATACAATAGTTCGATATCTTCTGTTCTTAATGCTTTATTAACTAATTTATAAATAAATGATTGCTTTGAATACCAACGAATTGCATCTTCTGCTTTATAATGTTGTTCAAACTCTTCAATTAATTTGATTTCTGTTCGATTTCCACGATAATATTCTTTACACATTTGAATCATTTGTTCTTTTGCTTGTTGATTTCGTGGGAGACGAGCAATAACATAATTGAAAACTTGAAGCCAAAGAAACTGTGCTGATTCTTTGGATAAATCTTTGGTCAATCTTTCATGTTGAGCAAAAAAAGAAAATGTTTGTATTTGCTTACTAACAAGAACAATTTGTTCTTTAATTGAATTACATAAATCATCAAGATTAGTATAAATACCAATTATAATTGAATATTGATTTAATAAATATCCATATTTTCCTTGTTTCATACAAAAGATAAAAATGGAATCGATTTGATGAAAAGAACAAATTCGAGGTAAAATTTGTGATGCTTTTGATCCCGATGTAATTAAAACGATTTTTTCTTTATCAGTTTTTTGAATAAATTCAATACATTGTTTAAGATCGGTGTGAAAAATAGTATAATCATTGACTAGAACGAAGTTGCTGCTTTGTATTTTCTGTTTCTTCACGTAATCCAATATTTGGATCAAACCAAATGAGGGTTATACTTTCTTTATTTTCACCACCGATTCTACCTACAGACGATTTTTCTTGAACGCTTAGAATTGATGATTTGTGAGCCATATAATATGAAATTGAATATTATTGTAACATTAGGAATGCAGGCACTGCACACAAAATCAGAAGTATGGGAATAATTTTTTGACAAAACTTTGTTTTAAAAAAAGTGACATAAGCGGTCAGAAACATTTGTATTTTTATATCAGCACGAAAAATAATTCTTCCTTTGTTTGTGTGCTTAACCTGTAGCCTTTTGCATTAAAATATCATACGCTTTGATAACATTCTTATCAGTTTCCAACAGGCAAATCGGCGGTTGTGAGAGACAAAGTAAGAAATAACACCTCACAGGACAAAACGTTTTCTTTCTTTTTCAGCAAAAACTGCTTCGAGACCCTAAGATGCGTAAGCAAATTGTCCGACCCTTCAAAGTTACAGATGGACAGGGACGGAATACATGTGAGTTCACATGCCAGTGTGAAGTATGCGGGTGTGGGTATGGGTGTGGGTATGGGTGTGGGTGGGTGTGGGGTGTGGGTGTGGGGGGGGGGGGGGGGTGGGGGTGGGGGTGTGGGATGGATGTGGGTGTGGGTGGTGTGGGAGTGTGGGTGTGGGTGTGGGCGGGTGTGGGTGGGTGTGAGAGTGGGCGTCGGTGTTCGTGCTTCTGTTGATCTTCTCCTCACCCACACCCACACCAACACTCACGCTCCACACTCACACCCACAGCAGTACCCACACAATCACACCCCATACCCACACCCTTGCTGCTTTTCATGAACCTTTATCTCATGTTATTCAATTTCTATTATTTATTTTATATGAATATTAATAATTATCTTTTAAAATAAAAATAAATGAATTGATTCAGATTATTTTCATGATTATTGATTTAATTATATAATGAAGATACTGTTTTGTTTAGCTGTATTTTATCAAAAAGATTTGAGATGAATAATTCGCTCGGTCATAGTACTAACGTAGGTTAAATTCTTTCTTTTAAAATTCCTATTATCTGAAAATCTGAATTTTGTTATTTGATGTCTATGTCACTAAAACTCTTTCGCATAAATAATGTCAAAGTAAAATAAATATTTTTTCTTTAGTTGAATTGAAACTTTCCTGATATGTATAAATATCTATTTGGACAAATTTAATTTCAAGCAAACATGTGAAATCAGAAGTCGTGATAATATTTGTTTTTTTATAAGTTACATTTATCGGGACTTATGCATCAAATCTAGTTTTATGTCTTTTCGAAAATAATTCTTTTAATTATCTCAAGTAGAAAATCATCATCCTCAAAATGAAGATTATTACAATCTCGTTTAATAACATCTATTCATATTGTTATTGATAAGATTTTTCAAAATAATGGAATATGTTTTACTAATAATTGTTTATTTTTCTTTATTATCAACTGTTTACATAATTTCAATAGTAAAACAAACAATTAATTCAGCTAAGTATAATACAGGTGGTAGAGTAATGTAAGAAATTTTGGAATTTATAAAAAAAAAAGAAGGATACTTTCATCTAAATTTATTCGTTGAAATGTTCCAAGAATTTTAATGATAATAACAATAATTTGTTTTATTTTTATAAATTATTTAAATAAGTATATTTATATTAAACAAATGATTTCCAACTGATTTATGATCTCTAAGACAAAATGATAATAAAGATAAGCACTATGCTTAATTCTCTAACTTCAACCATATTAATAAGATATGTTATTTATAGTAAAAAAACGTAAATAAAACGATAATTATTATTTAGAATAATCATTGCAACAAATAAATATGCAAAGAGAGAAAGACGAAGTAGATTTTCTTCATAACGATAATAATAATTGACGAAAACTATTATCAGCTGCTCGAAGTTATTTATCTAAAATAAAATCATACATCTTACTAAAGTATATCAAGTCGAGAGTGAATCTTTTGCCGTTAGTTCATTATTAAACTAATAATTTAAAATAAAGTTTTATCTTTAAATAAATGGATGATATTATACTATCATGTAGATAAACATGAGAGCTTTAAGCGCCTTTTGACATTGAACCAAAGAATAGAAGCTGATTTCTATTACGAGAAATTAGTTTTATATTTTGAATTATTTTATTTTTCCTAAATTTTCAAATCGAAACTTTTAAAATCAATTATTTCAGTGTTTATTATAAAGAAGACGAGTTGAACGAAAAAATTCATATATAAAAATACACTAATATTTTTTCCATAATATCGATTAATAAATAAAAATAATTCGATTTAAGAAAAATAAAGTGACGAGTATTATTTATAACTCCTCAAACTCTATAAGGCGAAATATAAAAGAAAAGTTTTTAAAAGTATAAAAAAATTCCTTCTAACGTTTACGTTCTAAAATTTTTATTTCGTATTAGACCAACTAATGATAAAATATTATTCTATTGATAATGATGGAACATCTTCAGTGGAATTTTGTATAAGACAATGGAACAACAATTATATTTATATTAATTAAGCATAAATTAATAGTTTCAAGTTTCATATATAAAAATATTTTAAAGTGTAGAAGTTTATTTTAATAAAGAAACAAAAAACGTAACATATCTATTTGATAATGTTAGGAAAAGCTACAATAAATAGATCGATATGCTGTTATTCAACTAATGATTAAAAAGTAGGTAGTATTAGTGCTGTCGAATAAATATCGAGAATAATTGACTCTATTTGAAAATGAACAAAAGGATAAAATTTGAGATAATCACTAAGAATAAAATATTCTTTAATAGAACAAACGTAATATATCAAATTAACAATTGTTGTTTAAAGATATTACTATCTATCAGATTGATTTCAAAGACTATCAATAACTGTTAGCAATTTTAAAATGTATTACATTAAAAATTCTATTAATCGTTTTTTTTTT